AAGGGGGACAGATTTAATTTGCTCTTATTAACATACAATGCTGCTAGATCTTTCGCCCTTTGTTAGGACATGGTTTAAATCTAGCTTACAACTGATAATGAGATGTGCCACTACAAGACAATGTGTGAATGGGAAACGAATATAAAGTAGGCGTTATCCCATTTTAGTTGCAAAAGTATAAATACATCTTACAGAAGAACTCCAGGTTGTAGAATAATTAATCCTTGCAGTGGGGCTACTCCTACACTGCAAGTGTTCATTGCTCGTTTTGGTCTAGGGGCGAAAAGTAATCCGATTTTCGATCCTGTAGCAGTGACTGCTCACCTCTCTCTCCCTCCACTTCGCCTATGGCATGTCCTTCAGCATCCTCAAGTCTAATAGGCCTGTATTAGGCATGATCATGTCATTCATGGGTCCTTAGACCACTGGAGCCCGGGGAATAGACTGCATTTTAACATCCATCCAAGGATCAGGTGAGTATTTCTTCTTTATTTTCATCCCCTAGACCAGTGGTGGCGAACCTTGGCACTCCAGCTGTGCCAAAACTACAAATCCCAACATGCATCTGCCTCTGGGAGTTATGTCTGTGGCTGATGCCTCATGGGAGTTGTAGTTCCAAAACAGCTGGGGTGCCAAGGTTCGCCACCACTGCCCTAGACAAAACAAGCACATGAACCTTGCAGTGCGGGGGTAGCCCCTCTGCAAGGGTTAAGTTTTTTTTTAAAAAATCTGGAGTTCTTTTTTAAAGTAGATTTTAAAAAATCAAATCACTTTTCTGCCCAATGAGCCTGACCTTTCCTTACTGTAGCACTGTGGACTCTTTCCAGCAGCAGGATCTTCTCTCCATTCACACAGAGCTATAATGACTGAACAGATGAGCGTTGATACCAGACATCCCCATTAGATGGCGCTGCTGGCAGGATCTGTTACTGAGGCTCCCGTTCTTCAGCAAAACGTGAGAGATGAGTAGTTCACACCCGTCCTTGTTGTATTATGCTGAGGAGGGTTGTGTATTTCGATAAACCCCCATTAAAATAATGTATTTTTGTAAATGCTATACATACCCTAAAGTATCTAACACAGTTTCCTATGAATCAGTTAATTAGTAAACCACTGCCTTTTCTCAGGCCCAACCTATCCCCTTCTGAGGTTGTTTATATTAAATGTAAACCTTTCTAGACATTATTTTAGCAATAGATCAGAGAAGGTGGGGGCAGGGGCACAGGGCGGGGCAAACAGAAGGGCAAACCAAAGTTCAGCAAAGATTCTTTGTCGTCAAAAGAAAAAGAGAAAAATGTATTTTTTACAGTACATTTGCTAAGTGGAAAAGTATGAGAACTACGGTTGACCTTTGTAATTGTCATGTTTTGCTGGGGAATTAGAAAAATCTTTCCTCTTTATATAGTAACCGAAGTCTGAAAGCAATTTAAGAGCTATAAACTTGTGCGGTTTTCCAGGAATCCATTACTGATTTCTATAAAGGTTTTTAAAGAGAATTTTATGCATAAAAGTGCTAAAGGTGGCCTCCAACTGTGCTAATGTCATCTGGTTCCTCAAGAACCGGACCAAGTCCGCACAGCATATGGCCACCTTTTAGCAGTATAGATTTGTTGCCCTCAGAACATCTACAACAGATCATCGATCTACTACAGTCATAGAGACTAAGCACGTGATTGAATGAAACCTGTTAGAAGGGGGCGGACCTGGGGCGGGACACCAGTGATGTGGTAATACGTTTTAATAAACTATCCCAGCGGAATCTGGTGTGTGTTCTGTTTGTAAATGGCATCGGAGTCCGCTTTAGTTCACTGCATTGCTGCTATACAATGACTGCTTCTCTCCAGAGCATTGCTCCCATAATCTAATGATGGCCGGCATCTCAAAATGTCTTTAGATTTTCTACAGAAAGCTTCATCCTACAATGACTAATTAAAGGGCTACTCCGCCAAATATTGCGATTATTGTTAAAATGAGCTTCTTAGTCGTAGTCTTTAAAGAAGACTAAGGGGAAATGAAATCTTAACCCTTGCAGTGGGGTTTTGCTAGATGTGTAAATGTTGTTAGTGATTTGGGTTTTTGTCTACTTTAAATGGGAATTCCAAAAGACTCACAGGGGTTGATTTACTAAAGGCGAATAGGCTGTTCACTATGCAAGGAAATTTGTACTTTTCAGGGAAAGTTTCCCATATCTCAGTGAATGTGGTGACATTTCACTTAGCAAAAAATACCCAGGGAGGCATTTTTAATGTATTTTTTAAATGTTGTTTGCACATGATTGGATGATGGATGTTGGCAGAGCTTCACCTCATTCACTAAGTTAAGGGGAAACTTAAAGGAGAACTATGGGGTTAAGGCTTTTCCCCATAGACCTCATAGTTCTTCTTTTAAGATGCCGGCCGAAATTCACACAGTTTGTGGGGCTGTCGGCTCCCTTTGCAAAATCTTCATACGATTTAGAGGTGGCGGCCAATGAGCTGCCCGCTATGATCGGGTATTCTGACAGGTGCAGCCGCCACCTGTCACAATCCAATGCAAACAGCGTGATTCCTCGATCGACACGCTGTTTGTGTTGATGGAGGAATTGCGTCCATTTCTTTCGTTCAGCCCGCGGGTTGAGCGAAAGAAATTGACAGGTGTATGGCCAGATTTACCCTGCAAAGTACAAAGTCCCTTGCAAATTGGAGCACCTAATTGCCTTTAGTAAATCAACCCTTGTGTGTGAATGTGAATAACATTGGACACATTTGGCACATTCTCCTGGGTTCAATCGTTGACGTTTTTTCAGTGAAGATCAGCGCATTTTCTCATCTTCCAACAAACAGTTGCTAAAAGGTCCGGAATTTCTTATGTAATTTTAATGATGGTGCATATTTCCTGGCTTCCTTCTCTCCTGTGATGATTCGGATGGTGGAACCGATCATCTACATTTGATCTGGTATTAAATAGAACCGTTTTCTTCCCATTACATAATCTTTCCCCTCTGTCTTCAACAAGCAACACTCCACCATGGAATGGGCCGCAACTCCATTCTGACTCTTTCTTCCCCCACAGTGCCTTTGTGCAGACAGTATTCTCCTTTTATTGAGAGCCTATAAAATATCTTCAATGATGCCAAAAAAGCACTTTAGATCTTTAAAGGGATTCAAAGGAACATCCTTTGTGCTCTTTAAAACAGGCAAATTGTGGCATTTAGAGACGGAGACGGTTTTGAAAAATGCTGCAAGATATAAAGTTATCATTATGAAATGTGTCTGAGTTTTCTTCTTTTTATTTATTTTTTTGTAACACTTTTAATCACAGAGGGGAATTCTATCCACAGCATACAGCGTCTTTTATCAAGCTTGCCATCGGCAGATCTGAAAAGACAAATTCTAAGTAAACAGCGGTAGAGCTAAGGCTGCCTGTATTCCTATTTTATGTTAAAGGGTATCTTTGGTCAAAAACTAAACAACACATGTATTTTTGTATTGAATTTCCATAAGTTCTATCTCACTCCCCTCCCACCAGCCATGATCTGACTCCATTGCATAGAGAATCAAAGTTTAATCTGCCAATATTTTGCCTTCCCTAGTTTCTCCCTCCCCCTTCATCAACATGTTCATGAATTTTTTAGATATTCCATTTTCATGCCATATCTTATTTTATACACGCTAATGTCATCACTGGGCCTACAATGAGGTAACTAATGAAAGTGGAAGAAAAAAACATGAACATGTTGATGAAGAGGGGGGGAAGGGACCGGAGAAGGAAAAATATAAGCAGATTAAACATAAGCTTTAACCATTGCCTAAAGAACCCTAGAAAAACCACATGGGAAGCTTCACAAATGCTATACAGACATCAAGATGCAGTTGAGGAACATTCTCATTATCTCAAAATGTCTACAGACAACACTTACTTAAAGTGACATTAAACCCTCCCTTTTTTCCCCGTTCTAATCTTGATCCGATCATCTTCTTCCTTCTTCCTTCTTTCCAGTAGTTTTCAGCAGTCCCACCAGCATTGGTGCCGGTCTCTGATCCAGCACAGACTGCTGTGTCTTCCTGTCCCACAGACTCTGTCCAACGGGCATGCTCCCGGCTGCATGCATTCACTTACAGTGAGTCTCTCCTCTTCTCTCCAGCCAGGAGCGAGCGGCGGAAACATAATATGCTAGCAGTAGATATATGTAAAAACAAATTAGACTTTAATACTACCTTAAAGGAGAACTATGAGGTGAGTGCTTTTCACTCACCCCATAGTTCTAGCCGACCTGTGACAATGAAACTGTCACAGGTCGGCTCAGTAGATCGGGAGGTGAGCGAACACATACCGGCGTTCAATCACCTCTCGATCCTGTCACGGCTTTCTGCCGTGACAGGGGAGGGGCTGGATTCCCCTCTCCCCGCTCCGATTTGCCAGCGCTGACTGCCGGAACAGACGGGGGAGGGGGCGGGTACAGCTGGCTCTGCCTCTAGATAGGCAGAGCCAGCTGTCAGTCACACAGCTGGGCGGTTCCAGACATAATTGTCGGGATCCGCTTCAGCTGCGGCGTCTCAGTATACCGCGAGCTACAGCTTGTGTCCTCCCGTTACCCTAAGGAGAACTATGGGGAAAAGCCTTAACCCTATAGTTCTCCTTTTAACATTGCCTGCAGCTTGCAAATCGAAGCACGGTGACCCGAAACAGTGCAATCACTTGTCTCAAACAAGAATCTCCACTATAACACAATTGTCTCCACTATAACATTTACTTATTTGCAGGATTTTGTGAAGCAAATGGAAAGTTTTTGTAAATGTTTCCCAAATAGGTGTTATGAGCAGCCATGTGAAATGGCCCGCAGAATATTGGTACTTATTAGGCTGGTTTAATGTTTTGTAATGTTTTTACATTTTTTTTTAATGCTAATTTCAATAAAACAATTTATCTTTAGAAAATGATGTCGGACATAATTAATTATCATAAAACACAGAAAATAAAGGTATGAAGGCACTAACACATTTTTTTTCTTTCTTTTTCAGAGGGCTTTTTATAACGATCCATGATAAGGGTCACATTGCGTCCATGCTGAACTCTTGGCCAAGGGATGACATAAAGGTAAGGTGATCCTGGGTATGGTAAATGCTGCACTCCAAGCGGGTATAAATGACACAGATTAAGGCAGCTTTGTATTCATTACTACATCATCAAATGTTTTTGCCAGACAGGGCTGTGGTGTGTGGCAGAGCTGTTTAAATATCAGAACTGAATGGATACAAATACTTTGACAGGTAAAACAACTGCCTCATATGTATTTCATCTGTTTGGTTGGAGTTGAGCTTTTAAAGAAGAACTCCCGGCAAATAAAATCTTAACCCTTGCAGTGGAGCTCATTGCAAGGGTTAAGTGCCTGGTTTCCCAAGATGGGTCCCTTCAGCCCCTCCTCCTGTGCTGCTCCAGCGATGGTATGTCTCTCTGCGTCCTCACGTCCAGTACACTGTATAGGACGTGATGACTCACAGGTCCTTAGGCCGGTTGAGCGGAGGGGGAGCTGGCTTCTTAAACGATTTTTAAAACACTTTCTATCCAGTTTTTTCTATTAAACCTTTTATACCCGTATGGAGAACAGTATATGATTTAGATATATAAATGGCAAACTAAACAGGAACCCGAGACTAAAATCTTTCCTTTTTTTTTTTCCACTCTGCTAAGCAAAGGGCTTAAATTGTATTGTACTAAATGGATTTGACTGTGAAAGGCAATGGCCATATAACCAACGGCTAATCACTAATTTAAAGATTATTATTGAGGATTCTGGCGGTTTGAGAGGTTTCTGTTATAAACAGTAGCTGGAGCTCTTCAATGTTCTCGCACACAAGTGGAATGAAAAGGAAATGCTTTGCACTTTCTGTAAGGCATGAAAATCTTGTTTAATGATAGGTTAAGTTCCATTTACAGTCGGCATCACTTCTAAATAAAACTTTCTGGTTTCAAAAGCTCTGCACTGTCTGCGTCACTTAGGGCCCTTTGACACCATGCCGTTAATTTAAAGCATGCTTGTTCCAGGTCTGTGCCCGAAAGTATTGGAGCCAGACAGAGGAGCACTCCCCCACCCAAAATAAATGCTGAATTAAAAAAAAAAGTATCTACACACCCAAAATGCTGGCCTAAATCCCAAGGTCATGTGATCCCAAGTCTTCTATACTCTTCACTGCAGAAGAGGGGGGTCTTCCTTCGGGTGTCCAAGTCACTGCCTGTGAACTTTTCCTATTTGCTGTCCAGTGACCTCTCGGGATCCAGAAGACAGTGCAGAGGTGTGATGACGTCATGAAAAGGCAAATGGTTAGCGGAGACAGAATGCTGGGTTGGACCCACCGGTCGTCTCTCCTGGAAGCAATGTTGACAAGGGAAATGGACGGCAAAATTTGGGAGTATAAACAAGGTTGTAGAAAGTATTTCCTTTTTAAATCACTGTCAAATAGGCAAGGTCAGTAGAGGGGGGGGGCTTTACTTGGATATGGGAATTCCTCCACTACTGCTAGCTTTATCTTTCTCTGGTTGCAGGTATCCACCTCCAAAGTGTCCTTATGGCTGCAAATACTGCAATCAGGGTCATCCCTGAGGCAGCCAAGAGAAAGGGGCCAAGCTGTCAGCCAGGCGGGAGACGGCGGGCGGCCATGCTGTCATGGGGTGGGGGCTGCTGTTAGTCATCCGTGCTGCTCTTGTAGCTGGAATCTCTAGTTATATGTTTACAGTGCGCTGAATTAAGAATTCCAGTAGTGATATCTAAACCATTGTGGTTCCCTAGAACAGCCATCATATGCCTCCACTTGCCAAAAGGCCTGAGGATCGGGTTTTCTGCTTTCATGGGTACAAGGTGATTTCTACACGTTCAAAATATGCATTCCCAGCAAGGGGCCCTCTTATCCCCCTCCTCCCCTTTTTGCTAATCCCACCATATCCCCACAAGCTGGCAATGAGGAGAGGACAGAATTATTTAAACACATGATCACTGACTTGATGTAGGAGGATGATCTTGATCATGGGACAAGCATTCCTTAACTGATATATTGATTAGAAAGATAGAGCCAGGACCATTAAAGTAGGCGACAGGGAGCACCAATAGGCTCTTATGTTCCATCAGATGGACCTTAGTGACAAGTGGGCTTTAGCAATGAGGAGGGGCTCAAAGATAAGGTGGCAGACCATCAGAGGCTGCCATTGATTGGAGAGGAAGAACCTTCTGAATGAGAGACAGAACAGTAGCAAGGGAAGATTATGTCTAGAGACAGGGGCAGCTTGCAGGGGGTGGGTGGGAGCAACCCTAAGGACACTGCTATCTGACTTGCTGCAGGTTCCAATGCCCATTGTGAGAAGCTCACAGTGTGCAGTAAAATCAGAGTAAGCAATTTCTGTGCAGGAGAGGAACCTGTACAACTGTGCAAGGCCGAAGTTCAGCTTTACGGAATATTGATAACAATAGTTCTGGTTTCAGCTGACCCAAGCAAGCTTTCCTATGGATGATTTTGGAATGATTCTTGTTCTGTATATCAGGAAACCTGTATAGGGCAGTGAAGAACGCCACAGAGTCCCAAAGCTATCGGAGATTGGCATGTGATTCAACTCGTCAAAAACCATGCAAAGCTTTTCCAATCCCATGCAGTTCTCTCCAGTAAACATGACACATAATATTGCATTTGAGGGAAAATATCTAATAAAAACTTTGAAATACAAAATAGACAATGTCTTTGTTGTATAAAATAAATTGGCTCCCTCTCTGCTTGAAAGTTGCAAGTAAAACCAAGAGAGACGATTTGACAGTCTGTTTATCCATTGCCCCTAGACACCGCCAGTAAACACATTACTTATATTAAGAAAAGAAGATCGCTGTCCGTGATAGATGACATCATGGAGCCGATGTGAAGGAGAGCCTCAGAGGGCTATGAAAATCAATGAGCCGCAAACATTCATATGCAGCTCGTTATTCAGTTCCCTAATGTGAGCTACACACACGCTCAGAATCGCTTAAAACTGCCAAAATCTTTTTTTTTTTTTTTTTTTTTAAACAATGCTCACACTTCATATATCAATGTACAGTTCTAAAAAAAAATGTGTGAACCCGTAAGGATTTTCCTGATTTCTGCATGGATGGTTCCTAAATTATGATCTGCGAGACATGATCATTAAGGACGGTCTCATTTAATATGCAAAACATTTTACATTGCCACATCTTAAGTAAATAAATAGTTCTAACAATAAAGGGCATTAAGGTAATAGGTACAGGTTTGATTTGTCCTGAGCTGCAGCAACTCTTCTTATCAGGTCCTTTAAAAATCTTTCTTGGTCAGGCCATACTACACCTCAACAGGTTTCTGTTGTAAAGGCAGAAAAATGGAACAGCACAAATGTCTAGTACTGCAGGAGAGCTCAAACCCTTGTAGCCAGCTTGGCCTAAGAGGGGTGACTACCTAAATTTAGTTTTCTGAGACTGCGTTCAGTCTGGCTGATTGTATAGTCTATACTCCATTAGTTTTTTCCCTAAGGAGTCTGTTATTGATTGCATCTGCCTGCTGCTTGGTGTTGGCTATCCACAGAGGAGACCAACCAACAGTACAATTAGGGTTGCCACCTGTCTAGGATTCACCCGGACAGTTCGGGTTTTGAATGCTGTGTTAGGGATTCATGGCAGCAGAAACCCGGACACAAGATGTCAGGCAGACAGGGGCAACCAAAATTAAGATAGGGGCTACTGGCCCCCCACTTAAAATAGTCTCAACTGTGATATTTACATATGAATGGGTGGCGCTATTTACATATGAATAAGCCGCAATTCATTCCCTCCAAAAAATGTCTGCGCGTCGCTTGAGTTTTCGGGTTTCGCTTGAAGAAAAGGTGGCAACCCTAAGTACAATGCTATGGATGTCGGTCTCTCCAGCCAATCACTAGTCTCTTTATTCCCTGGGCATCCTGCCTGTATGTAGTATGCAGGTGGCATTGATCATTTGCAGGTTGAAGGGAAGTCTTCAAGAAGAATTCCGGGCAACATTGTTATTAACTCTTCTAATGGGGCTACCCCCACACTGCAAGGGTTAATTGCTCGTTTGTGTCAAAGGACTAAAATAAAAAAAGTTATACTCACTTGATCCTCAGACCTGCCTGGCTCTTAGACCCGTCCTTCCACTCTCGCTCCCCCTCTACTGCAGTAGTCTAAAGCTGGCCATACACCTTACAATTATCTGCAGATTTTCTATGGTCAGATGGAAAAGGTGCAACAGATTCCTTCATCTATGCTAAACTGTGTGGATGGAGGAATCTCCACCTGGGCCAATCTGTTGCACTTTTTCCATCTGACCACAGAAAATCTGCAGATATTGTAAGGTGTATGGGCACCTTAAGGATCCCCAAGTCATCATATCCAATATACTGTGTATTGGACGTGAGGATGCCGAGGGACATATCATAGCTGTATAGGAGGGGAGAGGCTGGACGGAGTGCTGTGACAGCCGGTCGGCTTCCAGGTTCGGGGAGTAAAAATGTTTAATTTTAGTCCCTAGACACAAACGAGCAGTTATTAGAAATGTTGCCCCGAGTTCAGCTTTCAGCCTCCATGTGAACACTATGACATAGTTCACCTAGTGATCACATGATCAAATACTTCTCTCCATTCATTATTGGGACCCCTATCTGTAAATGACAGCCGGGTTTGAGAGCCAGCAGCCGCGTGTAGAATCAGCTGCTGGCACTCGGTGTGTTTTAATGTATCCCCAGCACAGGATGTCGTGCTGGGGAGTAATTATTTCAATTGCTAGCAGGAGGGGGTTATGTCAGGGGAAGGCAACCTCGGCACTCCAGCTGTGGTGAAACTACAAATCCCATGAGGTTTATGGATCCTAAGTATGTACCGGTATGTTTCATCCTCAGATTTTAATATACAGTCTTTTTTTTATTAAGCGAAGAAATGTCAAATTCTGTGTCATTCTATGGGATATAAATACTTCTTGAATTTATATTGATGTATAAAGTTTCAGCATTCTTTTTTGTTCTTTTTTATTTGTTATTATTATTGCAGCTTTGTAGCTTCCTGTGTCACCTACCTAAATAAATGAATATCTCACTGCTAAGGTCCTCCTTCATTGTACAGTTCATTACAGTCTGATTGGTTTACAGTTCATGACCTCCCACTGCCAGTCTAATTTCTGTTGTGCAGATGATATTTTAGATAGTTATTCTAGGATTTTTCTTAACTACTGAACTGATTAAAGTGTTGCATTGCTTAAACATCTTATAATATTGGCCTAGTAATGTAACAATCGTATAGTTTACTGTGTCAGCTGTCTTAGAGGATTATGGCCTACAATTACCTAGATACAAAACCCACTGAACGCCATTCATTGCTTTATATCTGAAAAGTTTTATCTGCCTTGTGTTGACAGGCCATCGTTGTGACAGATGGCGAGCGTATCCTTGGCCTTGGAGACCTGGGAGGTTACGGCATGGGAATCCCCGTGGGCAAGTTGGCTCTATATACTGCCTGTGGAGGAGTCCACCCGCAGCAGTGTCTCCCTGTATTACTGGATGTGGGCACTGACAATGAGGTAAGCTGATGGATTCCTGTCCCTTCCAGTGGTGCAAGTGGTTTATTCCATTTCTGTACATGTCTGTGTGGCACATGCACTGTGCTAACAAACAATGACACAGACAAGGGTATTCGTTTCATCCCTTCCATAGTGTCCCTGTGCCGCCCCAATCTTAATGCTTACAGTAAGCAAAGTCATGGGTACACCTTCTTCTACCTAAATGCTATAGTGCAAAGCTCAGTAGTTCAGCATCCAATCCAGAAGCCAGGGGCATCCTTACATAAGAGGTGGGGTGTGCCTTAACCTGGCTGGTGAAGGAAGATGTGCAGTATATCACGGAACATTGTGCTGTTTTGCATTTCAGTAGATGAGCTGGTTTTATATTGTTTGAAAAGCACAGGTTCACATTAAAGCAACCCTGTCCTTCGTCCATATTTACAGAAACCAATGCCATATTTGAAGCTTTCAGCTTATAAATATTTTACCGGTTCTTCAGCAGTAGACCTTGGTTATCCCCTCATTGGGCACCACCATCTTGCCCATCACACACCATAGAGAAGGTGCAGCCTGGCTGTCAACCACAGCCTCCCCACCCCATCACAGACACCTCTGTTCTTCTTCCTGTGACAGTTGTGTGTCACTGCTCTCTGCATACATTAAGGGCTGAAGGGACTGCATACCTCCCAACTTTCTGAGATGGGAAAGAGGGATACCTACAAGCACACTGGGGGGGAATTTATCAAAGCAATTGCGACAGTTTTAGCCTGTTAGATCATTTTCTGCATTAGGGTAAAAATGGCCCAGCACCTTTTTTCTACCCCAGTCTCCTCTAGACTTACCTGTCAGCTGCGCCTCGTCCCCGCCGCCGGTCCGAAGAGATCCTCCGTTCCCCCGAACTTCCGGGTTGCGGGGGAGGATACTGATGGCAGAGGAGCCATAGGCTCCTTCTGCCATCAATCAAAGAGGGAAGGGGCGTGGCCTGCCACAGGGCTGTGCGTGTCTATGGACGCACACAGCCACTGCTGAAACGAGCGTGCACGGGTGCCTCCATTAGAACGATGGTGGCACCTGTGCAGGGCGTGGGGGGAAGTGCGCTGCGGGGAGCCATTAGAAAACGAGGAATTTGGAACTTTTAAAGAGTAAAATCAACAGCCTCCAGGAAAGGAGGATCTCCTTAAAGGAGAAATAAAAAAAAAATAACAAATCTGCTCAAAAGAACAAGTCTTCTTTCCTGGAGTCTATTAAACTAGCAACATAAATCTGGTGCAAATATATTCTGTGCAAGCTCAAACACTTGCTGTGATAAATTTCCCCCAATGTGTTTAAGGGATAAACACACCCCTGCCACATCCTCAGTAATAGGCAATGGACACACCTCTGCTACTACCCCAGAGTTTTATAGGCAATGGTCACACCTCTGCCATGCCCCCATTTATCCAGACCATTAAGAATGTAATTGCCAAAAATAATTGGTTAAACCCATAATTGTATTTTTCCATCATTACTTTTCCTTTATTACTGGCTTGGTAAACAAGATAGTTAAGAGATAAGATGCAGGCTTTTGTGCAGGGTAGTTAAATAGAACCTTTTCATAGATATCAGATCAAAAACGGGGTCAACTGAGGAGGAAAGAAGGACAGAGGGTTTGGTTCCCAATGAGGGACAGTTGGGTGGTATGGGAATGGTTAAAGATGAGATTAGACCTTAAAGGAGAACTATGGGGTCAGGGCTTTTCCCCATAGTTCTCCATTGGGTAACGGGAGGACACAAACTAGCGCCCTCCCACGCTAAGCTCAGTATACCGCGGTATATTGAGACGCCGCACCTGAAGTGGATCCCGACAATTATGTCTGGATCCGCCCAGCTGCGTGAGTGACAGCTGGCTCTGCCTATCTAGAGGCAGAGCCAGCTGTACCCGCCCCCCTCCCCCGTCAGTTCCGCCAATCAGCGCTGGAGGAGCGGTGAGGGGGGAATCCAGCCCCTCCCCTGTCACGGCAGAGAGCCGTGACCGGATCGAGAGGTGAGCGAACGCCGGTATGTGTTCATTCACCTCCCGATCTACTGAGCCGACCTGTGACAGTCTCATTGTCACAGGTCGGCTAGAACTATGAGGTGATTGAAAAGCACTCACCTCATAGTTCTCCTTTTAAGTGCTGACTTTTGATACACAGTCAATATTTGCATATCGGTAAAATTACTATTAATTCTAGAAAGGTTGCCCATTTTGGATGAAGGGGCGCATGACACAGCCTGGCTGACCTTATTTTCAAGAGCCACTATGTTTACATGCTCTGAGAATGAAAAGGTACACAGCAAGGCTCTTTAAAAATGAAGCCTGCTCTACTGTATAAGACATTGTTTTTGGTTTTCAACTGAAGCTATATTAATTTAGCAGCTATCTACCACCTGATACCCCAAGCAGTGGGGTTGATTTACTAAAATAGTAGCGGCTGTTCACTTAGCATAGTGAAGGTTTAATGAGTTTGGTAACTAGGGTGCAGCTGTGTTCACTTCAATCAAGCGCTCATGTTCTGGCAAAAATCTTGTTTTTTGCTTTTTATGTCCCATCACAGATTCACCTTTATTGACTAATATCCACTTCATTGAATTAACATCCTTTTATTCATTTAACCCTGGCATTATACCTCTGCCTGCCCGTCTATTTCATCATAATAACTGTCAGCACCTCTTATATAGAAAAACTCGGGGAAAGCTCCTAGTGCATCATGGAAGTTGTTCATTTATTTTTTTCCTTAAAGTGACATTAAACCCTCAGATTTTTTAAACATAAAACAATATGGTAATGTGTGCCTTACTGTAATACATGGTTTCCCTTCTCTTTGCTGCTCTTCCTTTTAAATCCTTATTTCTTCTCATGCTGGGGAGAACTTCCCTTTGCAGCTGAGTGCCTCTTCCTGTAGTGCTGGCTCAGGTTGTGAACCTACACACAGACACCATGTGTCCATTCCAGAGACAAGGCAGTCTGCTGCAAAACAGAAGTTCTGCAGAGCATGAGAAGAGATACGGATTTAAGAGGAAGAGCAGCAAAGAGAAGGGAAACAACCATGGATAACAGTAAGGCACACATTACAGTATTGTTTTATGTTAAAAAATATGATGGTTTAATGTCACTTTAAGTCTCTATGGTTCATGTGTGGTGGCATAAAGGTTTGGATTTTTCCCCACATCTTTAAAGTGACACTAAACTCAGGAGTTAAATCTTAAATATATTCAAGTACCTTAACTATTAACAAAAATGTATCTTATTTGTGTATCACTCGGCTGCAGATCCTCAAATCATCTCTGAATTGGTGCTGACACTGTCCTTCTTTCTGGAGGGGGGCTACTTTTGTTCCCCATGGTCCCTGTGTGTGTTGTAAAGTAGTCACCGCTCCAGGCTCACTCCTGTGATGGACTACAATTTCAATACAAATTAGTAAACTAAACATGAGCTTGTAGTCCATCCTGGGAGTGAGCTTGGAGAGGTGACTACGGGCTTGTTCACACCATTTTCTGGTCCAGATCTGGTGCAGATCTGCAGAGCGGTGCTATGCATGCAGTGCGTTTTTGACGCGTTCCGGTTCCTTTTTTTTTGTGGAGTGGGGCTGTCAGCTGTTAACTGCAACCCTGTGGTTGTGTAAAAGATCGGCGCACCCTTGGAGGAAAATGCAAAAACTCCTGTGTGTGTGGTATATGTGTGTGTGTATATGTATATATATGTATGTATGTATGTGTATATATATATATATGTGTATATATATATATATGTAT